ACACGAAGAGCAGATTTCAATAAGCGGAATAGGTCATAGTCTAGGTGATGATAAAACCATGGTAGTTTAAAATCCTATTGACTGGCAAGGTGACATTCATCACTTATTATAGATTACCCCGTACCATTTCAGTGACTTTCAAAGAGTTTCATTTTCTTTGTGTTGGAAGTTTTGTTTGAAGTATGTCCAGTGTCTTAAAAGTAGTCTCTCTCAGTGTATCAATAACAGTAGAGAACAGCTGATAAGATAGATAATAGATAGATAGATAGATGATAGATAGATAGATAGATAGATAGATAGATAGATAGATAGATAGACTTATTTATCCCCAAAGGAAATTCATTAATTTCATCAATTTAACAACATTAACTAAAATTAAAGACCCTAACCTTAAGAATAGAATTAAAAATAAAATAAAATATATAATAATATAATATATAATATTAATCCAGCATACAGACTCTTCTGTTATAAATTCAGTGTTATCGTCTCATTGTTCTGTGGTGGCGGGGAGGACGAAGCTGCTGCACAGGTTCCTCCATGTCAGATTTTGAGCGTCAGACACTTAATTTCCTGCATTTTGGTGAGATTTTATGTACTTTTTGGTTCAAATACATCGATTTCAAAGCCCTCTGCTACTCTCAATATGAATATAAAGGAACTTAAAGCTGCAAACAGCAATGACCAGGCCCTCGCGCTGCAGCTGCTTAATTCACCAGTGTATCATGTAGATCAGATCATAATCATCACACAAGGCTTACTTCCTGTTGCCAGTAGGGGGCACTATGATGATATCTGAATATTATCACATAGACGTGTCAGAACGAGGCTCTTATCAAGCATACAAAGTTTTGTTGAGATTGGACCATGTACACTGAAGTTATGACAACTAACTTTGTGTTTCAGGGCGAATCATCAAAATCCGACGCCACCAATCAATCACATTTCATTTTATTTAATTCACTCTCATTCTGTCTGATACACTGAAACATAAACATGATATCGGTGGTAACAGCTTCTTGCTCACAACTGAAACTCTGCTTAAAAGGAAAAACTGGCTTGGCAAATAACAATCTGCAAACACCTCGATTGGTCAACCATCTTAAACTCAGCCACTCACAGATTATTGACTCCCAGACTGGGAAAAAGATTTAGCTGTTACCATCGATATCAACTCCTGGACACATCTGCAACAACACCTTCTCGATGTCCCAGAACACTAAACTGCAACTCATTTAATACAAAGAGTTTATATATTATACATATATATATATATATTACACACAATGGGCCTCAGTGAGTGGAGTATCGCTGGCAGCCAATGAGAGTTTCTTCCACTGCTGGAGGGGTTGAGCGACAAATGTCTCAGTTTGTAACGGGTGTTTGATTTCTCACAAGCTAGGAGGATAAAATCTGTTTAACATGTTGTTCCCTTATAGAGAACATAATAAACCGATAGTACACTTGAGAAGAGATGAGCTCTAGCGTTTAACTGCTCGAAGCCACCTCCTGGGACAGTTCCCTCTTGGCGTGATGAGGTCTTTTTCACTTCACATAACAAAGGCATCTGCTCAGTAACTCCGCCCAAACGCCCAACGGCTCCTTCCTCCTAACTTAACATGGATTTAAAACAATGGGGAGGCATGGAGGCTCAGTGGTTAGCACTGTCGCCTCACAGCAAGAAGGTTGTGGGTTCAAATCCTGGCTGGACATACAGAGACACAGAGCACAACTCTTAATTGTGATGGTCTTTAGATTGCATGGACCAAATCACACATCGGATCATAGACATGGGCAAAATGTTTGGTTTGTCAAAATAAAGTAATTTACTGTGAAGCACTGAAATAATTATACAGTTAGAATAGTTTCCAGAGTCAGTTTGTTTGTTTCAGTTTAGTTTTTATCATTTAAACATAATCTAGTTTTAGTTTTAGTTTATTAAACACTTGTCTCAATGAACACATGCACTAATAACTAACGCTTGCTGTGTGACAAATGTGACCAAATTAACAAAAACTAAAGACATTTCCTGTATATTTTTCATTTTAGTACGTTTTTATTTTTATTTTGGTGAACTAAAATTTTTTTTAACTCCTAGTTTTAGTTTAGTTTTATTAATAATAACCTCGCTCCAGAGTGAATGAAGGAACACAATAATTGTTACCTCAGTTGTGTGAACACATTTACAGGCTTTTCTTTTATATTAGTGCAACACTTTAAAGGAAGAAGGAGGTAAAAACATCTCACACATTGTTCCAAACAGACTGTTTGTATATGTGTATTAATACGTGACCGGACGGGATCTTTAAACACCTTCCAATATCAGTCCTACAGAGCTCCTCCAAAGGTCATGGTGGGAATGTTTTTTCAGAAATTCTTTTGCATTCCCTCGTGAAACGCTGCGTCTAAACTAATATTACTGAGAAAATATAGAAATTCTTCTTTCAGTGTTATTAAAAGAATAAAACAGTTTGGTCCTTTTTTTGGAAAGGAATGTATCTGCAGATATGATGGATGGTCTTGTTGCTCTCTGAAGCCACAGAAGCCACCAGGGTGAGTCAGGGTAAGATAACTCTATGGACCTATAACCTGACACTGGCTTTAACTTTCTTTTGACTCTATATTTTGTGTGTATTCAGTCCAACAAGCAGATTATCTTAGTTTGAACTCATTTAAAGGTCCAGTGTGCAGGACTTAGTCTCATCGTGAACCAGGAAATGTTGAGTAATAAGTTTTATATTAGAAATGTACAGTTTGGAATAATCTGAATCACTTATACAGACAATATTCCAACAACTGCTTGGCTGATTTAAACAATAAAGGAGTGGTTTTAGAGGTTATTGAGGATGCTGAATCAATTTCTGACAGTTTCTAAGTTTAATATAACAATAAGACAAACATTTTTAATGTGAGCTTTGATCATCTACTCCAAATTCTCATATGAACTCTCATTAATTAAAGTCACAAGAGAGACATAAACAAACGACAAGCAGGTGTAATCGATAGTGTAACACGATGAACCTGCTCTCCACAAAGTATTTGCTTTGTCTCAGCACCAGTCAGTCCCCACCTTTGTGACAGCTGATGTCACTGCACTAAATGTCACTGTGGATCGTGATGGATGCAGTATTATTTGTGGTCAGAAATAGACATTATTCCCTGGTGACTGACTGAATGATTACTCATGCACAAGAACACATGTTGATCGTTTGTTTTTGTTGGACAGAGTAAGGTTCGTGTCCTGTCCTACTCCTAATAAAACACGCTACATCTGCAGCTATTGTGGTTAAAGGCACATGGAGAGACACTACACTTTCATGCGCTGGTCAATTTTGGGCTATTTTACTTCTAAAATGCCTAAAATAAACATGTAGGTGTTAGTTTTACTGCACTTTGTCTGTTTGCATCTGTAGATTTCACCAAAACTTAGCATTAGATAATGCCTTGTTTGCAAATTCAAACATACAACTTCAGAAAACTTAAATTAATAAAGAAAAATAATTGTCTTATTAAGTTTCATGGTGATATTTATTAGTTCACCTGTAGTAAATTTTACATTATGTATCTTTAAGGCTGTTTTCTGAGCCAGAAATCTTCAGCAGCATTTACAGACACCAAACCACCCAGTTTTATTTCTATCTATATTCTAAAGGTTTCTACAGACGGGTTTGTTCATTTATCATTCACAGCCTGATTTATTTATTTTATTCCTACAAAACATGGCAAACATGGATTTTTAATGACTGCTGACAGCTAGCATTTTCTGCTGAGTGATAAAAAGAAGCTGAAGGTTTGACTTTAATATGTAAAATAACAAACAAAATGAAACAAGAATTTTGAACCTGACTTTATTTAATGTTCAGATTTATGTGCATTATTTTTATTTAAAGTGCATCATCTGCATATTTAAACATACTATTTCAGAAAACTTGCAATACAAAACTAATTGTCTTAATGTAAATAATCAACTGGGTTTCATGGTGATATCTTTTTTTACCCACTCTTGATGTACTGTCTCTGTCTGCAAAGCTTTTCATTAATATGTTGAGTCACGAATAGTAACTACTACCAGCTACATGAATGACCAAACTACTGTAACTCTGAGGTGAAACGGCGATGGGTCCACCTGAACGTGTGCCACACATAGCTGGTGTGAAGTGTAGAGACGACATAACTGAGGCAAAACTTCAAGTTAACCTCCACAGGCTGCTCCATACAAGCCAGCGGTTCATTATTGTGAGCCTACTGTCACCTTTACTCACAGGTAAGGGACCAGAGACAGTTAATCAATGCCAGTTCATCTCTTGACAAACTCCAGTGGCAAAAGATTGTTGCGGTGTTATATCCCACCTGTGATGAAGAGGATTAAGTAAGTATAGACTTTACTTACCACCAAGGTAAGTGGGGTTGGCTACTGGACTTTGACTTTATGTTTGTGCAACAGATATTTACCGCTTTAACGCTTGTCCAAATAGAAAGAATAAGAATAAGAAGATAAGAGTCTCTAATTCCCAGGCGCCTTCAATCTACATTTTTATTATACATGAAAAAGAAAATTCACATGTTCACTTTGGTCTGTGTACTACGAGAATAAGTTGACCTGGAGCCTAAATTGTAACTTTGTTGTCTGGGGAC